AAAAAGGTATTTTTATTATTTTTTTCTATATCCATACAGACTTATTTATGTAGATATGCTATGCGATAATTTAGCAAATTTAGCAAAAAAAGGAACGTAGTACCATAAGTATTAAAAAAAAATGTCATATGTTTTTGAAGTCGATATGATCTTTTTTCATTATAATTAGCGACTTACCCTCGCTTCGCTCGGGTGTCTTTTTGGCGTTGTTTTTTCATGCCTTTTTTTAATTTATTGATTATTATTATTATTAACTAGGGCTCACCCTCGCTTCGCTCGGGTTCGCCTCTAGCAAACCAAAAACAGTTCAAATGCCGCCCTTTTTCCGACTTCAATATAATTTATTTCTGACAGCAAACACTTTTTAGCACTTTGAAATTTAAGAGTCAGATCGGTAGGTTCAGAGATTACCCCCTACATATAAACTTACAAACCTTACCTCTTTATAATATTTGTTTAGAACTATAAACTAGAATTCATCTCTAATAAGAATTTTCACTCTCAATGTCAATACTGAACGTGCTGTGTAATCTTCTCGACCACAGTGCTTGTAATAAGTACATAATATGTACATATAAGTCACGCGTTTTACAAAGTTGTTATTTTGTTACTTATTACCGTCTGCTAGAGGATTCGGATGATCGTATATTAAAATTTAATTCATATTCACTTATCATGTGTCCTATTTATATAGATATATGTATAATCTAAATTTACAAATTTGTTCTATTAGATTCGTTTACAAATAGATACCTTATTATAATACTAGCAATAGCCTCGACTTGTTTTGGGTCTCATTACGCTCCGTATCAATGAACTTATAAAATATCTATCCCTTGGAAACTTCTGTTCATTGGCCAGTATACTTTGTACATAAAAGTAATCTATATTACCTTAAATGAAATCATTTACCCGCCATTAAAAGTCCCATTTTTCTACAAGAGCTCTTCCCAGAAAAAAGTATGATAAATAGTAAACTGTGCTACTTTCGTCCGAAATCTAATACACCAGTAAAGGTCCTGTTATAATCGGTCCAACCGTTTCCGATATTAAAAGACTGAAACAGACCAAAAATTACTTTTATAAGCTTTATTATCGTTCAAACAGTCATTTGAATGCTATATGCACGTATTATGCACATATAAAACAAATACAATATATTATGCTTATCAAACAAAAGATTTGTATGTAACTATAACACTTGTGAATAACCAGAACAGTGACCGAGTGGGAATCAATTTCATTGAGCACATTCGCTTCCGGAGACGTCCCCCAGTCGACGCCCGCCTCACGCAACTATCATCCACTTAATATAAGAATTACTACATGAATCTAGGAATTTCATGTCACTTTAAATACAAATATCCATCAAACATAAAAACCCATACAGTAGCCATAGTACCAAAAACTTAAAAAAAAACCGACTTCCAGGCACTAAAATGTAAAAAATAACTAAACGGGGGTTTTCATTTAAAATAGATACCTAATCAGATATTTTCCAAGTCGGTGCCAACCGACGCATAGGAAATCTAATATATTTTGATACGTAAAATACATATTTACCTATTAGATATTCATATCTTAAAATACTGTCCGCTGGCACCGACTTCGAAAATATCTGATTAGGTAGGTATCTATTCTAAATGAAAACCCCCGTTTAGTTATTTTTTACATTTTAGTGCCTGGAAGTCGGTTTTTTTTTAGTTTTTATTTTTATATTTTTAGTGTAGACGAAATAAGCTGGTAATTTGTAGGAAGAAAGTTTTTAATAACATATTCGATTAAACAATTTGTTTAAAAAAATATTTATTGTTGATTTTTTTAAAACCGCTCGACCGATTTCGATAAAATTTATATGGGACCACCAGGGAATACCCTTTCAAACAAAACAAAAAAATTTCCAATCGGTTCAGGCGTCTTCGAGTAATCGGTGAACATACATAAAAAAAAAAGATTCCGACGAATTGAGAACCTCCTCGTTTTTGGAAGTCGGTTAAAAATGCATAACGAACATAAGTTCCCATAAAAATTGCTAAGAATGTATGGTACATAAATCAAAATTAATGGTTTTAAGCTTCAATTCTAAACATATTCCAAACTAAATTCTAAGCTAGAACCTATGGTCAATATTAGATACAATACATAAATTTATAATTGATATAAATATCGCGAAGAAATAATACCTACAAATGAGACGTAAGATCATTTAGATGAAAAGATGACTCAAAAACGTATAAAGTTACCGCTATAATGTAATGACCGCCAGTTAACAGTCCGTCCTGCGTACTCCGTAAAAGCTAATTTAATGGGTCACTAGTTGGGTTATAGCACTTGTGTGTTGCAATGAATGAAGCGGAACGCTAATAAATTACTATTGTTTTTATTTAATGTGATGAATGACTACTTTTTAAGGAAACTCGTCAACGTACATCGAATGCAAATAAAACGGTTTTTCCTCGCGAAATCAATTATATTTTTTCACCTATTTTATCCCTCTTCAATATCAACATGCGCAGCAAATAAAAGAGTAATTAAATGTTATTGAGCAGTATCTATATTATATACTATTAATAATGTACCTTTTGTATTTTTTTCATCACAGTTGAACAAAATGCGATATGTATAGAAAGCAGGTCAATATCACGAAACAAAGGTAATAACCATGGCATTATTAAGAGTAGATACATTAACGTCTACCATTGCTAATCCATTTTTGTACTTGGTTTCTATGTCGGTTTTTGTAGACATTCAGTTTAACGACCTACACATAAGAAAAAATACTATAAAAAATAAATGCCCCTTACTATCATTAGTAACGCCGATTTTAAGCTTGACTCTTGACTTGTCACGGTTATGAGTTTATTTTATGAGTTTGATCTATAACTTAGCACGTTGAGAAAATGAAGTCGTAATAAGTCACATAACGAAAACAGTACGTTTCCTAGCCTTGGCCCCAAATACACCTATCCAACTAACAAATGAATGTCTGGAAGAATAATGCTTTGGATAACACCTTCTACCTAATCTCAAGAATCACTGTGATTAGTACATTACCCAAATTGCCCAAAGAATACTCGTAATTTCCTTCCATAATAGTTCTTGTCTAAGTATAGCAGTAAGAGTAACTTATGACGTACGTACATTTCGTCTAGGTACTGGTTAGCACTGCTTTTAACACGAGTATTCACATGTTTTATCAGGCAAAAGACGGATCAAATTTTAAGAACTACAAAATTATAATGATATTGACATTTAAAATTTCACATAATAATTAGTAAACACCTCCAGGTAAATTTCTAAGAAATTTATTAAATTTATAAGAAATCTATAATCTATATGTTAGCTGTAACGCCGGCGTGTCCGCGGTCGTTGACGAATTACGCAATTAATTAAGTGTAATAACTAGGTTATACTATATTCGCAACACAACATCCTCAAGAGAATCAACGTGACATCTGTCCTTTGGGATGGTACCTACTTATTCAATGATATCAACAACTTCAACTTCTTGAGGTTAACGCGTCCTCATTTTGGTTTACAGTCAATCGTATATTGTATACATTCATGAGATATCTATAGTTTAAAGTTATGGAAATGTATTTTATTTTATGTAATGTTATGCGCAAACTTTGGCTAACTTAAAATTTGAATATCCATAAATCAACACAATAGAATATCGAAATAACTTCTACAACGTAATTAAAATAATAATAATAATATAATAATAAGTTATTTATTTGCAAAATAATAAAAAAACTAGGTAGGGTTCGTTAACATTGTATTGAAGATCATTGCCAAGGCACCGCACTCTTCCTTTGTTGATGATTGACTTTGCGTGTACCATTCTGTAACATCAGCGGCATGTTGCGTAACAAACGCATTGCTCTCTCGATTGATAGAACTGATTCGACATAATTGTATGACTCTACACCGCAACAAATGCTAGTCTTATTGCACTTTATAAACATATAAAATAGACTTAATTAGGCGACGCTATTAATAGACAGTGACACTGAAGAATCTAGAAGGTAGATCGCATTTAATATCATATTACGGAAAGGACTTTTGTAACAGGCACATAATAGTCATTGCTGAAATAGTGTTGTTGTTAATTATATTACATTTGAACATTACTTATGTATTATAATTAATTTTAATTAATTACATATCAATGTCAAACAATAACAATTAACAATATATTTTTGCTTACATTAAAAACATTTTTTTGTCAAAAAACGACGTTGTATGTACCGATGTATGTACAAAAGCTTATATGGAAAATTTATTTTTTTGCATTGCTTTAATAGTTTCATTATTAGTAGCGAGATATCAGATTAAAGTTAACAAAAAATATCTACAATTTTAGTCAGATTACACCAGGTAATTATATCCCGGAACTAGATAAAATATATAAAGTAGATACAATTTCATATGCTAACAATCAAATATGAATTTACATTTAAGCACTAGGTATAAAGAAAAACGACACTTGACATTAGTAGGGATTAAATAGCACTAAAACAATTTAAAGATATTAAATATTAAAAAAGAATATACGTAACAGTTTAACTGCTTCCGGGTAAGCTCCATCTGTGTTTAGTGTTGTTTAGGCCAAATATCCCTGAATGAGGACCATCTAATTCATTTGTATGGAATGGATTGTGGAGTTTCTGTAGTTATTCTATATGTATATAGGAATAGATTCTCTATAATATTCGTCATAGGCTTTAAAATATCCGTATCTAATTTACTAAGAGGGTACATAGCATACCACGACCATCATTATACATATATATATACAACAATTTTAGCCAGGCTTCTTTTATTGTAGTGATTTTTTATTGTATATTGAACTGTTGGTTTTAAATACAATGTATTCACTATGCATCGTATCTTCATTTGTCTCGTAATTTATAGCTAAAATTTTATACATATCAAAACAACCTTCTTTTTACCATTTTAATTCACAGTTAAATAATATATATTTATCTTATTTTCAGTAATCCCAAGTCAAGAACTAAGCAAAGAAAAACATCAAGAATCCAACGATGGCAGCGGGCAAAAGGATGTGGTGTCTACCATCATTGGCGATTACGGCCGCTGGCAGTTACTGATGACCTTTTTACTATCTTTATTTTCTTTTCCTTGTACCTTTCACATATATTTACCAACATTTACGGTTAGTAAAATTAATAATACTTTTCATAACTTATTAAATCTAAATAAATAGTCATGACAAAATTAAATACAGCAGAAAAGCCTTAGTTCAAACTAATGTAACTGTAAGAAAATTATTTTCTTATTCTATACATATAATATTTACTTATTTTACAGTATAACTTTATAAATTTTCGCGTCCATAATTTGTTAGTGGCTATATGTATACCTTATTCCCAACATTTCGACTGGGTTGCACCAGCCGTGTTTTACTTTACAGTAAAAAACCACCTATAAATTACATTTATTTTCAGGCAAAAATAACAAAGTTTTGGTGCCGAAGGCCAGAAAATTTATCAAGCCTACCACTTGAATATTGGATCAACTACAGTCAACCTGTGGACGCCTGTTCTGTGCGCATGTTGCCAGACGGAATAACTGCTGAAAGTATTATAAACAATACCGCCCCACTTATAGACTCCTTTCAAAAGTGCACTAATTGGGATTTTGATCGATCAGAAGTCGGTGACACGATTATCTCGGAATGGGATCTTGTGTGTGATAGAGCTACATTAACTAATTTAGCGGAAGTTGTATTCTTAGTCGGCGTAGGTGTGGGTGGAGTATTGGGTGGATGGATATCTGATAAGTACGTATAATTCAATAATAAAAACACAGTATTTTAGTTAAAAATAGGTATATCCAACATTCAGTATGTTATCATGATAAAAACGGAAAATTCTGGTATTCTGACATGGAAAAGTTAAATGTAAATTATTATTTTTATTCAATCTTCCTGCATGTACCTACTTACCTACTAATATAATTATACTGTATGAAATTAATTCTTGAAATCTTACTATACAAGGATATTGGTAAAGTTAATTTACAAATAATCACTTGAAACTTGTAGTTGTAAAATAATAACCGGTAATTATAGATTTGAACTGCTTTTTTAATCAAACACAGAAATCAAAGATTTATAACAAAATATGATTTTAGTACTTACTAAAATCATATTTTATTTTATATATTTCAATATTATAAAATCATATTATATTTTACTTTAAAATCGTAGTTTACTTAAACTGAATATATGCGCTACAATAATAACATATCGTATTTATTTCAGATTTGGACGGAAGCGGATCCTAATAGGCATGATGGTAGCACAAAGTGCATTGGCTATCATATCTCTTCTAGTGCGATCATACTTGCAATATGTGATCGTAAGACTCGTAATGGGTCTGGTATCAGTGTCTGTGGTCTACGCAGCTTTCGTTCTCTCCGTAGAGTTAGTAGGCGGTTCGTGGGTGACAATTGCTGGAGTATGCAATTTCTTCCCATTACCATTGGCCTACATTATAGTCTCACTACTTTCGATGATATTACCCAATTGGCGAGATTTACAACTAGCCATCTCTGTCCCGGGATGTTTCCTGCTCCTTTTATGGTGAGTTATTTAAAGATAAAAATACAATGTAGTGAATAGTCAAAAGAATGCCATCTCTGTCATTATGTAGAAACTCTATTTTATCTTCTTCTAGCTTAAGACAAACAAGCATGTAATTTTGGATATGTAAGCATGTAATGTTGTAAATAATGTTTATATGCGGTAAAAAATAAATACTATATGAAGAGAAACAAATTATAAAACTGTATATTGTGATTTCAGGTTCGTTTTACCAGAATCTCCGCGATGGTTACTAAGTATGAACAGAACGCAAGAGGCAAAGGTGGTTTTAGAAAAAGCATCGAAATTTAACAAAAAAGATAATATTGCTGATATAGACAAACTACTATTATTATACAAAACAGAAAATGTCAAAGAGGAACCTAGCGTACTGATGCTTTTCAGAGGTTATTTATTGAAGAGAACATTTTGCCTGTTTATAATATGGTTTTCAATGACCATCGCATACTACGGGCTATTACTGAATATTGGAAAATTCAATTTGGGAAATTTACACCTTACGTCAATAATATTAGCTGTCGTAGAAATACCAGCTATAGCTCTAAGTATTCCTGTGTTATTCAAAGCCGGAAGACGTATTCCCATATTTACTACTATGATCGTTTGTGGACTTGCCTGTGTTGCAAGCGAGTTATTTTCTATATCTTTTGATGACACCTGGATTATGATATCATGTCTTATGGTCGGCAAATTCGCAATCGCCTCTACAAATATCATGTTACCAATTTTTACTGCTGAGCTTTATCCCACTGTGATAAGAAACCTAGGCGTTGGCGCTAGTCAAATATCTTCAGGATTAGCATTAATTTGCATTCCGTACTTATGGGAATTGGTAATATTATATTCTAAAATATTATATACATAGCTTTATAAACTATTAATATTCGTCATCGTTTAAAAAATAACGTTTTAATTTATAATTAAAAGAAAAATGTAATATAAAAATATTGAACTTACTCGATTTTAGCAGAATGAATTAATGTATGTCTTTTCCTACAGACGAAATTAAATGAGCACTTACCTATGGTGACTATAGCAGCGATGAGTTGCGCTGGCGGCACTGTTGTACTATTATTACCTGACACCGTTACGTCTGAAAAATCTAAAACGTAAGTTGATGATATATAAGAGAGAAAAAGAGCGTTTATTTATGAAAGAGAGCTTAGTGATAGGCTCACTTGTTTAGTTACTACTGTGAAAAAAAAGGTTTTCACATTAAAATGTCCTTTTTTTATGAAAACAATATTACAAAATATATTAAACTAATGTTTAACTATATTAATTATTACATTTTCAACTGATACAGTAAATTTATAAATAAATTCTGCATTTTACAGGTTAAAAACTTCAACGTGCAATGGAACGTTTACATCCACTGATGATAGAGGGCATTAGTTGTCTCAAGAATATAAATTATATTTGAACTGTCAAACAGTTGCCACAAAGAATTTAACTGTATTATTGAAAAAAATTTTTTTCTTTATATAGTGTATATAACTAACGAAAAATTCGATTAGTAAAATAAAATAATCTGAGATCTTGCATTATATTTAAGTTATATTTACATATTTTCAGTAGAGAGAAAAGAGCGCAAAGCGCTACGATCTCTGCGTACTTCTTTCACTTGTTCTTCACTGTCTTCGAGGGACGAAGAATCCTCAAACTTTTGACCTGACGTCTCCTTGTAATACATTCGTTTGTTAAATAATACTTATTTTAGTTTACTTCTGTATGTTTAATTAACAGAGAACGTTTTACAATTTTTGGTATATAAAATACTTTAAAAAGGGTAAAAGTAAAATATATCCACAATATATGTACATATGTATGTTTTAAATGTATTAATTTGAAATAAGTATATTTATTTATACCTATATTAGGTATTAATAAAATGTTAAATTAAGAATAAAATTTAGTTAGCATAATAGTCTATTTTTAGAGTTTCATAACATTGTACCTAATTCTACTATAAATTATCATTTTAAATATACAATTTTTGTTAATTTTAGCAGTGTTATAAGAATGTTTGTGAAACATTATATTGTAATCATAATAATAGAATATTGCACTCTATGACGGATGCTCTATGCTTTTACAGGTTTCGAAATAAAAGAAGGTTTGTCGCAATAAATCTTTGCAAATTGCGGACCAATTTTAATGGGTTTTTTTTGGAATTCAAATATAGGCCTTAATCCTTATCTTGAGGGGTGTTATTTAAAATGGAAGTAAAATTTAACGTTACATTAAAATCTATAGAAAAAGCTAAAAAGCAGTTTAGTCTATAATTATAACATCATATATTAACATACAATTAAATGTACACAATTTAATGTGTAGGAAAGTGGCGACATCTAGTACTACGAGAATAAAATTTGATGAATTGGGAGTCTTCATTATGAAGCACTTTTATTGATAGATAAATAATAAATAAATGTTGGGACATTAACACACAGCGCCATCTAGTTTCATGGTAAGGTACGAGGCTTGTGTTATGGACACCAAATAGTTGATACACTACATATATATAACTTTTAAATACATACATATTATAAATATAAACACTAATGACTGGAGTACAAACATTCGTGCTCATCACACAAATGAATGCCCCCAGCGGGACTCGAACCCGCGACCGCTGGCACATCAAGTAGGGTCACTACCAACTGAGCCAAACGTGTCGTCTATTATGTCGTTATTGATAGAAAAGAAGTAGAAGTAACTTTAAGACAGTACACATTTAAAGCATAAAAATGTTTGGAAAATAATATAAAATAAAAGATGAATCTTAAAAATTGTGACTGCCTTTTCAATGACAATGGTTAAAAAAGATATTTTTATATATTTGCCCATTCATAGGGTTTCCTGTACTTATATACTAGTAAAATATATATGATAGCAATGTCTAGTTAAGTATGGCAGTGAAGGGTAAAGGTATTCGCCGACAACAACCAAAACGTGACGGGTACTCTTGAACTATTGTTTCACTTGAGTTCTTGGCACTTCAAACTCTAATATAATAAAATATTATTTTACTTCTCTGAAAATTTTGAAGTATTTTTAAGAAAAATATTAACACATGTACATAAATAATTGATACAAATTTTAATTTAAAATTTATTCACCTATCTTGCACATTTTTCACATAGATGGTACCTATTAAAACCTTATTCAGCAAAATATGTATCGATTGTAATTTTATATCCAAGTGCCTCCTGAATCTAAATTTCCTTTAAATTACTATTAAAATGTTAAGAATTGTCGTTATAAATTATCTGAATTAAGCCCAATAAAAAAAATGATATGAGTGCCTACAGCGTTTTTCTTTGTAAGTTGTGAATATAATACGTAAGGAATTATTAATAAGTTATATGTGATAAAATTATTTTTAAATAATAAAATAAACTTCTTCGTTTAGTTTCCTTAATGTTTTACTTGCCGCTATTTATAGCCTTCCTCATTTTTTTGGCTGACATTTTTGATTAAACAGAATAAAACACACAATATTCAGGATTTGTTGTCTCTACCTAGATTTTTGTATATAAACTAGCGACTCACCCTCGCTCCGCTCGGTTTCGGGGCGAAACTGAGCTAAAGACTGACCTAACCGAAACTAAAGTATAGATTTCCCAAAGACGAGATATTTTTTCGCAATAAAAAGTATCCTATATGTCGACCCGGATAACCAGATATCATCATACCAAATCTCATCAAAATCTGTCCTGTGGTGTTCTCGTTATGCACTGCCAGAGATACAGACAGACAGACAAAATTAAAAAAAAACTATAGATTCGGACTCTGTATCGATAATAATGACTATTTCACATTTCGTAAGAAATCGACAAGTCACGTTGAGTTAAACCAAGTAATAAAATTCAAAAAACGATAGTTCTGATTGTTTAAATACAAATTCGATCTTACGCACACTACATAAAGTACTTACTTTACTTATTTTTTTAACAAAACAACGTGCATTTTAATTTTGTCATCCGAAAAGTAAAAAATAAAAGAGATTTGAAAAAGGCACACCGCGCAATTCAATTTTAAAATGTGCACTTTTTTGAGGATAATTTTGAGACGCTAATTTTGTACGTTGAGTTTTTAATTTTTAATATATCAATGATTTTCACCCTATGATCTTTTTTTATATAAATTAGTTACATCAAAGTTTTATTTAATTCTAATAAATTAGTTTATTGCTTGATTATAATTATAATAATTGATATTTTATAATTAAGTAAATAATATGAAACGGCCGATTTACGTAACAGTGAAGTCGCGCTAGTATGTACACTTAGCCTTTATTTACTGTTAATAGTGCAAGGTAGTCATTAACGTCTTAGTTTTCTTAAACTAACTTTTAGTTACGTAGACTAAAGGAAAATTCAAACTTACAACTGTAGAAAACGGTAGTATATCAAAATAAATTTTGGAAAATGTTCATCTGCCTTTTTTAAAGCAAAATATTATGCTCTACAATTCGTGTTCGAAACATTTTTCTCTACATGGCTTGTCTATTATACTTTGGAAACCATTTTTTGTCCCTTCTGTAAGCAACGAATAAACTGAATGATTTATTTTATGCATTCGTTACTGTGTTAAGACCAGTTAAATTTTGGCAGACATAATATATGTTCAAATAGCTGAGATATTTAAACGAAAAAAGAAAAATTAGTTTAAATGAAATTTAATAGGTCTCGTTAGAGTTATTTAACAAGTCATACAGCAAACAGCAATAACATGGTATGAAGTCTGATGAATGATACATGTTTTTTACTTGTTGCGAGTGTGTGTAATGTGTATGTATCCGACTTCATAATATATGTTCCTTTGTTAACTTGTTCTCATTTTTTAGTTCGCTTTTTACGTAGTCAGGTTTTTTTTTATATTTGTAAATATTTTTCTTATTTACAGCTTTTTAGTTTTGGTTAGTACATTTTTAGTTTTATATAAAAACTTCTTATCCTAAATTATTTTTAAACGTGTAAGTTGTATATATATATATATATATATATATATATATCTTTTTTCAAGACACAGAAATTGGCGCTTAAGATCCGCCAATTTGATTTTTAATGATATCTAAAATGTATATTATATATAAATATATAAAAAGTATCCTATATGTTGACCAGGATAACCAGCTATCATCATACCAAATTTCATCAAAATCCCTCCAGCGGTTTTTCCGTGATGCGGTAACAGACAGACAGACAGACAGACAGACAAAAATTCTAAAAATATAGATTCGGCCTCTGTATCGATAATAATGTCTATTTCAATAAGATTTTCCCAAAAATATTTAATGTACAGATTCGGTTTAGTTAGAATTTTATTATATGTATAGATTAGAGAAATTAAACCACGGAAAAACCACCTTTTCAATTATAATTTATAAATAATGTATGTACCAGAAGGACTATATATGCTATCATACCATTAAAGTAAATAAGTTAATCTTAGAATCCAGGTCAAGCTTTGGATCCTCATTACGAAGGTGTTCTTGAACACTAATTATACGGGACATTGACATCGTCTAGGGCGCGAGGCACATTCCCGCCGACAATTACAAAATGTCGGTAACGGCGACGACTGCGACGTCACTGCACGTGATTTGAGTACCAAAAAAGTAAGTGTCGAACACTAAAATTTTACATATTCTTATTTGGAAATCAAGAACAGTATTTACACACATTTCCTATATGCTTTAGGTAATAATGCTCGTATACAAAGAGTACTTTCTAATATTTAAATACTAAACTGCTAAATATTAAACTAATGTAAATGACATTTGCAAAGAAAAATTATCATAGTAAATATATATATATATATATATACATATTTATATATATATATATATATAAAAACGCAATGATATATATATATATATATAACTGCCTCGGTGGTGTAGTGGCTAGCATGTACGGCTGCACACTCGGAGGTCCTGGGTTCGAGTCCCGGGTCGGGCCAAGTTTAGTTATTGATCTTTCTGTATAGTAAGTCTCAGTAACAGCCCGGAGTTGGGAAGTTGGTGGTGTTTCACCCCCGTGCCTCGGAGAGCACGTAAAGCCGTCGGTCCTGCGCCTTAACTCTCACCGGTCGTGTCGTGCAGTCGTCCCACCGGAGTATGAGAGTGATAGGAATAGAGAGTGCACTTGTGTCTGCGCGTACACTTGTGCACTATAATATCTCCTGCGCAGTTGGCTAGTCTCAATGAGATTGGCCGCCGTAGCCGGAATCGGCTAGGAGAACATCATCATCATATATCATTGCGTTTTTTTAATATACATATTAACACTTAAGCATAGAACTTAGCTTCAATAATTAACTTAAAACTATTATTGAAAATAGTTTTATTGACACCTAAGACTTGTCCAATATGTATAGTATTAGTATAGTAAAACACCTAGCAGTATTAAAGGTAGCTAACATTACTGTTCGTCCTACATTAATATAAAATCAGTATAGCCCTATGTGATATGATTCGTAATCAAAATATAGTCTTTGTGCATTCCAAACTAAAATAACAATACATTGTATCATTGTAGATCTATGTGAATGATCCAATAAATATTTATTTAAGATGCACTGCACAGCGCACAAGTAATGCAGTGTATGAAAATTTCACAGTTATATAGACTTGGTCGTACTCTGCGTATTCTTTATTTAATTTTGTTATACTACTTGCTTATATAACTAAGCTAAATACTTAGGGAAAATTTTGAAAATTCATACTTTTAAGGGGACTAAATTGGGACTGGGTGTTTTTGCAAAAAATCATCACATTTAAATTTAGATATTTATATAGAAATTCGTATTTGAGCTTCTGTTTATATTGCTAAAGGAAACTCCCATGAGGCTACTTGTGTCGATTATAATGAACTAGTATCAGCTTCGGTCGTTAACCTCAGTCGACTCCTGACATAGATGCATTAAACAGTAATGTTCTAGCACTACTAATATGACCCCGAAAGTGCCATTGTTACAAATAGAGTATGCGTCGTGTCGAATCAGAAACACTCCATTGAAAAAGGCGATACAGAACAGGTAACGGGGCTCGCTACCGTCCTTGCGGGTAAGTCAGTAGTACTGGGAATATAATATGATATCAAGCGTCTAATAAATATTATGCTAGAGAAAGTTGTAATTATTATTTACTAGCGACTCCCCCTTGTTTTGCTTCGGGTTCGTCCGTAGACAAAAACAAATCTATCCCACGGGAAGCGTACATTTTTCCGGGATATAAAGTAACCTATATGCTATTCCAGACTATCTATCTCTGTGCCAAATTACATCCAGATCAGTTCAGCCGTTCTGGCGTGAAAGAGTAACAAACATCCATCCATCCATCCAGATCCACAAACTCACATTTATCATATTAGTATGAATTATTAAACATTCAAAATGTTATTAATTATTATTATCATTTCAAAGTAAAAATTTTTGTCATTTACAACAAGATGTAAGATAATAAGAGATAGCAGTGAAAGAGACATCGTAATGCTTAAAAATTCCATAAAGATCTTTTTTTAAACACTAAAACGTGTCTAGATTGTGGCTATCAAAAAATGTACGCCGTCGTAGCTAATACGGAGAATGAACTATTATGGCTACAACTCTCACTTATGTTGTGATGCTGCCGGTACACTTTCCGCTGCGGACGCGTGATTAACCTGCTGCTCACGCGTACATTTGTCACTGATGTAACACTGTCAAAGCATTATCCTTTAAATTTTGCCACAAACAATGCTCTCAGTGAATGACTTTAGTATTAATAACCTATACATATAATAAAATTGTAACTAAGCTGAATCTGTACATTAGATATTTTTTTAGATAATCTTATAGAAATAAACATTATTATCGATACAGAGGTCGAATCTATAGTTTTTAGAATTTTTGTCTGTCCGTCTGTCTGTTACCACATCACAGAAAAACCACTGGAGGGATTTTGATGAAATTTGGTATGGTGATAGCTGGTTATCCGGGTCAACATATAAGATACTTTTTACCGCGGGAAAATATCTCATTTTTGAGAAAAAATACAAAAACTGCAATGTAAGAGTATACTTATAATTGTAAAACCTAAGGATTTGGTTTTTGCTCACCTGAACGCGGGCGGAGCCGCGGGCAATACTAGTAAGTAATAAATTTTGAATTAATCAAGAATATATTTAATGGTTTTATATCTTGACGTATAGTAAGATTTATAACAATTTTGATACATATTACCAAATTTTATATCGTATTGATGATTTGATCGAGTATTTAATTACCGATTTATTTTAACTAAACGCATATTTATATACAATTTTTAATATGAAAGAACGTAAATAGTTACGATCCACGAGCGATTGCCTCACCTGACATATCGCATGCTGTGAGCATTTCGATTGAATTACAATTGGAAACGAACAATGCCCAACATTGTGACGAGACGAATCGGATGTCTTACGTAGAACCTGCTTGGAAATCGTGATCTGAAGGGTCTAAATTAACATGTGATCTAATATTTATTCTACAACAGTAAAGGTGCACAACATATGAGTCATATAAATGTATGTACATGTACATACATACAATTATACCTAAATTTAGATGCATGAAGAACTAAGCAAAAACCACAAATTAAATCTGCTTCACGTAGAAATACATAGTACTGAAGCGATGAATACCTACAATTAATTGGTTCGTTTAGCGGTATCTTCACGTTTAGTTCAACCAAATTATATAGTAGTGCATTTTATTGGCATAATATTAGGCATACAGAGCGTTCGTAGTCGGTTACCTTGCAATAAGGTATGGTGGTCGCGTCGGGCGCAGGGCGAGAGTGGGCGACCTCATATAGCTTGCGCGGGAGGCGTTTCCTTTATTTGTTGATCGTTCGTGGCGTGATAGTGTCGTGCCAGGACATCATGCGGACATTACTGGTGAGTGTCAGTGTGCAAGGCCACCTCGCCTCTTCATCATGTCGTCTATTTATATCATTAATTAATTAATTATTGATTAATTAATTAATTATTGATAAATCAATCATTTATTTATTAGATATTATAAAATATTTTTTATAAAATCTTTATTAAATTTAATATGAGCAATACCAAACAATAATATTTTTCTGAATCTGATATACATATAAAAGAATATGTGTACTCTAATCTTTAAACTACTATTTAATTATAACAAAAAAATAATAATTGAGGTCGTTATAATATGCCAGACATGCAAAATGGGTATCGATATCAAATAGCAACCTTCAATCTAACGCTAGCTGAGAGGGCTGTAAATGGCACGTAACCTTTTGTACAAAAATGTTGCCCTTCTTAATTTCTAAAGCGAAACTAATTATTTCAATGCGAGCAAATTTTATCATTCACGCTATCATATTAACGACTCAATTACGCAAACACGCAATATGGACAAAGTCACTACTTGTTGCGTTACTCTACCACTGTTACTCCAACAGGCTTGACTAGAAGTAGTTATATACAAAACTAATACACGTTCTATTTCAACGCACTTAAATCGTACCGTTCACTGTAAAATGCAAGATTTTATAATATACCAGTCGCACTAGTCTAAAAATTAAGAATTATTCATGGGAGATATTAGAACGATAACTAGTTCAATAATTATTGAGTAGGTATGTAACTCGCAATATTTATGCTAGGAATAATTTTGCAATATCCAAATTCTTAAAATAAAACTATCTTTTCGGATTATTTCGCGGATTTATTTTGATTTTTGGTTCCCGACGTTTCGAATGCTTTACAGCATCCATGGTCACGGGAGAGACTGAGGTGTTACATGTCTTAAAGATATAGTTGTTACAGACAGCCTACCCACAATTAACAAAATGAAAATTGCACCAATTACATTACAATATTTTTAACTTTAAACATTTTTATAATTTTAATTATAATTGAATATGGAAAATTATTTATTTAATTTTTGCTATTATTTTTATAATTATTACAATTTTAAAAATATTAATTAGTAATCTATATTTAGTGTTGCCATTATTATATTTATAACCATAAATAAAAAATATAAAAAATATAGTATTAATTATTAAAGCCATATAATTGTTCTATGTGTAATTTAAAAAGTTAAAATTAATTACGGATAATCATTTTAATTTAGTTTGCTATTATTTAAAAACAACTTACTAAGCAATAAAAAAGTTATAATGCAACAAAACTTTGTGTAATATTTCAAAAGGTCGGATGTAATAAACAATTTATCTCCATTTAGCTTTTCAGTAGAATTAATTTTTATCATTATAATATGAATGACTTTATTTAGATTTACTAACCATGCCCTAAATTAATTCGTCAATTAAAAGATTTTTTTTTTTCATTTTTTAATTTAATAAATAAACATTTTTATAACATTTATTATGTAAATATTATTTTTATATTATAATTATAATGTCAATTTATCAATTTATTTCGCTCTATTAAAATTACAAATTAAATATAATAGATGCAGCCCTATGCCACATTATGTAAGCCGCCTTCATACTTCCAAATGTAAGCATTTTGCCCTGCGGCTCATGTTTAGTATTTTATATAACTTGTCCATTATATGCAACATAGTTTTTCTTGAATTATAACTCTCGAATATTGGTCACGAAATTTAGAAACAAAATTTTGCTTCGTATTAACTATTGTTATATTTTTATAAAATCTACATAATAAGAACCTCCCCTTACAAATTAATATACAATTTTTCATTTAATTACAAAGTTTCGATCATTTCATAAAGGTCATATTTATCTATGATTAATTGATACAACTATAACAGATATATGGGATAGTTCTAAATTTCAATATGATGTAAAAAGATATATAAGGTTATTGCAAAACGATATTAAATAACAGACACGAGTTCTATTGAAGCAGAACCAATGCTTAATCCTGTAACTTAAGCCCTTAGTGCAGTAGGTATCACATATAGGACCGCGATCACCTTGACAACTCAAACAACAAAGAGCTGATCTATTGTTTAGAGACCATCAATTATGACTCTCTTATTAGCAGTCTAAAAACTTTAATTACTATTATGTATATGGTTAGCACGTACGTACATATATGTGTATATACATACATACATTTACGATGCAGTGATAGACATTTTGTAGATGTGTAGATATTTTTATATATTCAAAATAAAGTCAAGCCTTGTATTATAAAATTGAATAAAAAAAACTAAAGATATATTGTGTACTTAAATTGTAAATTGACGATGACAACTAAAATGAGTGCGCACCTGTAAAAGACATCAACGCGTTTATAACGCACTTCTGAGTTCTGAATAACCTCATATACCTACTATTATTGAAAGAGACCTTTACTTATAAAAACGCTAAATTATTATATATTGAATATTTCAACGTAATTATCATCACTCAAGTTCAGTACTTATGGCTAGAATCTCATATGCCTATATAAAAAATGATAACTAGGTAATAAAATTATATTAAAGACCTTTGGCATATACAAAAAAAATAACGAAACTGCCACATCGCAAGTAATAATGTTTCTTGAAAAACTCGATTTTTGGAAAATATTTCAATAAAATTGTTGTCCATATTTTGTTTTTAGAACCTTTTTTATATTTACTATACTTTTTTATTATATTTCAAAATATATATTGTACTAGCGACTCGCTCTCGCTTCGCTCGGGTTCGTCTCTAGGTAAGTTTTAATGTTTTGGGAAATCCTAATTCTTTTTCTAAAATAAAAGTAGCCTAAGTTACTCCTTATAACTTCACCTATCTGCCATTGAAAGTTCCCTCAAAATCAGTCGAGCTGTTTTATAGATTAGCCGGAACAAACAGACAGACAAAAATGTTAAAAATCGTGTTTTATTATAAGTACTGTACATAATTTAATATGCATTTAGTAAAAAGCTGTTTATCTTTATATTACATACAAACACTTCAATTTTATTTATCTGTATACATGTATTCTAAAAATATCCCTACTCTATTAATAGTTCTTTTATAACTTTTTAAGTATTATAATAAACTAGCGACTCACCCTCGCTTCGCTCGCGTTCGTCCCTGGGTACGATTTTTTTTTAAGCGGAACCCTAATTCTTTTTCTAAAATAAATGTAGTCTATGCCCCCTATCCCTAGCTATCTTCCAGTGAAAGTCCCGTCAAAATCAGTCCAGCCGTTTTAGAGATTATCCGGAACAAACAGACAGACAGACAAACATTGAGGAAAATGTGTTTTTCTTTTATGTACTGTATACAATTTCATATGCATTTAGTAAAACGCTGTTATTTTGACATTACAAACAGACACTTCAATTTTATTTACCTGTATAGATGAATAGAGACGTTATGTAAAATAGTATAAGGTAATGTAGGCTACATTCTTGCTTCCTGAAGAAACTGATAAGCATACCATTTACGCAAATATAGCGTGCATACATAACAGCAAAAAAGAAATCGAATATTGAGTTATATTTATCGTTTTAAAACAAATACCTTTTAGATTAAAGACAAAATTCCTAAAATTTTGGATTATATGTTGATTACATAATGTAAAAAAAACAAAGGTACATATATATTTAACTTAAATTTTTCTCAAACTATATCTTAGCTACTTAGCCAAGTCTTATGATTAACCCCTCGTATACTGTATTGGTTATAGCAATCACTAAAATTGTACGTGCCAATTTGACGCGGTTGAGTAACAAACTTCCATTTCAATAACTATTATTATTACACACGATAAGCTGTCACCAAGAACTGATTCTCGAGTCATTCAACAAAAGTTTTATTACAGTTGATTCCTCCATTATTTTAGGACTTAAGTTAATAATGTCGCTTTAAATACTTTTAAGACTTTCGGCATAGTAGTTTTCTTATTCAAAGTAAACAAATTTAATTCGTATTAGTAAAATATTATATTAAGTCTTAACCAAAAAAAAAAAGAAATAAACCATTTAACATTAACAAATCTGAAATTGCAGCAAGTTTTTCAACTTCAATTTCATGTTATGTAATTCTTGTAGATAATATGCAAAGCGCTATGCAAAAATATTTAATATTATAATTATTCAAATGTATTGAAATTTTTTGCTCGTCATTAAGAAGTGTTATAATATATATATACTAGCGACTCACCCTCGCTCCGCTCGGGTTCGTCCCTAATGTGGGCCACCCTTATCACTTAGGGGTATGGAAAATAGATAGTAGCCGATTCTGACCTACTGAATACGCATATAAAATTTAGTAAAAATCGGTAAAGCCGTTTCGGAGGAGTACGGTAACAAACATTGTGACATGGAAATTTTATATATAAGATATATATATATTTATTATATAGAGTCGAGTATGTAGACGTAATTTGATATTATCTAATGTTCAATTGTATTTTTTGTTCAGATGGACAAATTGAAGTATTTTAACATATTTATAAGGTCGATTTAACAATAACTTTATGACAATAATCAAAATTAAAGATAAAATAAACGAAAATAATAAAAAATAATAATACACATTCAAGTGCATTACGGTCTCATATCAACTACCTTAACGCATAAATTGTCATAGTTATGCAAGTAATCGACCTTGACTCTCATGTATTACTTATTAGGTTCGTGAAGGTAGGTACGTATTTTAAGTTCAAGTAAAATTATATATACTCGTAATAATTTAAATAGTTGTTATAAATACCTAAAATTATTTTTTTCTTTAATCTATATTATCTATTCCTTATTTGAAAACAACTTTTCGTATAACGGTTTTAAACAATACGGACATGTTTCAAATAAAAGCTTAGCCTTCTAGAACCCGAATACATGTAGTAAATTATTTTCTTAAGGCACGAGAACGTTGTCACCTTGACTGGCGGAAGAATGAGTGGCCCAGGCGTCCTTACTACTTTCAGATCGAGGCTCCAGGCCTCACCTCTATGCGACAACTAAAGAATTCCAACTACGTATCTTATGAATCTGAGATTCTGAAGCATATCATCGAAATATTTTAAGCAATAAGTTTATCTCTAGATAAATAAACGCAGGCACTTTATCTTAAAAAATATTTTAAATATATTGGAATATTTTAAATAAAACTATATTTTCGGATTTTTTCGCGCATTTATTTTAATTTTCGGTTCCGAAACAATTCGAATAGGTAGTTCTATGTAAAATGTCAAATATTCGCGTAAATCTAAGGAAGTATTAGATATACTTAAACACTTTTCTTCTATAAAAATATCAAACTCTACTCACAATAAACCGTTTTTTAACCGACGAAAAATAGAAGAGGTTCTCACGTCAACCACCCATCCTATACCACAAGTACCACGCAGAACTTTTTAAAGAGTCGTCCGAATTTGTTTTTTTCTTATTTATTATTATTTTTTCTTATTATTTATTATTTATTCTTATTTATTACTAGCATTGCCCGCGGTTCCGCCCGCGTCATCTGACCAAAACCCAAATTATTAGGTTTTACATATTAGTATACTCTTACATTGCAGTTTTTGTATTTTTTCTCAGAAATAAGATATTTTCGCAGGGTAAAAAGTATCCTATATGTTGACCCGGAGAACCAGCTATCACCATACCAAATTTCATCAAAATCCCTCCAGTGGTTTTTCTGTGATGCGACAGACAGAGAGACAGGGAGACAGACACAAAAATTCTAAAAACTATAGATTCGGCCTTCTGTATCGATAATAATGTTTATTTCAATAAGATCTTCCAAAAAAATATTTAATGTACCTACAGATTCGGCATAGTAACAATTTTATTATATGTATAGATTTATTCTTATTTATTATTTATCTTATAGAGTATACTTTACCTCTAGTTATTTAAATCTTAAAGAAAATTTATGGAGAAAATGTACCAATCATTAGTCCTATCCATCATCTCCTACTTCCTAGTCCTGACTCCATTGTCTAATCGACTTAATTGTATCAAATTGATAATTATATTCTCATGGGTTTCACGTACAAATTTAAGATCGTTCCTATTAGAAGTACGTTAAAATTGATCAATTTAATTACACAGTCATGTCACAAAAGAAGCTAACAAAAACGTCTTAAAGTAGTTGCACTTTAACTTTAGCAAAAAATTAGAAATTATAATTAATTAAAGCAAATCATATTATAATGTGCCGTAGGAAATTAAATCAAATATGAAATGAAAGTAATTATCAATTTACCTAAATTAGTTCCGGTTTTTCATACACCAACAAGCTTACGTTTTGACTTAAACAGCAGCGTAACCCTCCTTACGCAAGCTCTAACATTACTCTAATTTAAATGGAATTTTAATAGCAGTAACATAGTTGTACAGAAATGGACGTATATCCTCCATTCATATGACATCACGAGTTGCATTAGAATTATTAACCTTGACTATTTTATTGACATGATCTTGTAATGGACCTAATATTTTATTAGGAAATTGAAAAGTATGTTTAAGTTTATAACTTATTCATTATAATTATTAAAATAATTTTGTTTACATAAAGTTAATATGAAAGACTTTAGCAATATTTGGAACTGAAATGTATAAAGTAGATCATGGGCTTAAATAAAACACGTTAAACAACTTGGTGTCAATTTGTAGCAATATTCGTGAGCTAGACAAGGCCCATTACACTCGAAAGTATGCTGCCGTATAAACTAATTGCGTAGCACACATTCCAATACATAATATACCTTTACTTTATGTTACAAATTAATAATCACTTACTAAATTATATTTCAGATATGTATGCTGTGTGCAGTGACAGCTTATGCTCAATATGATTCGCCTACGCCGCCGAGGCTTCAAATTCCCGGCGCCCTCTTAGGAGGAGTAAGGCAAGGAGGATTTAGACAAGGAAGATTACAAGCTGCTCCAGTACCTGGAGGAGCAAATAGAATAAGGAGGCCTGGGCTTGCCAGACCCTCTTTCAAATCTGTAGACGCATCCCCACGTCCAAGTCTTCAGTCTCTTGACGAACCAACAAAACCCGTCACAGAGGAACCTGAAGAGGAAATTGAAATCAACACTCCAACTGCGTATGTACCAAATGTTTTCTCCACAGCAGAGCCACAAAACGATTTTTATGATATTACAACCACATCACAACCAAAACCTCCAGCAATTTACAACTCTTCACCATTTCAACAAACTACGCCATCGGCTCCTAAACCTGAGCCAGTGAGACCTACCCAATACCGGCCATTGGTACCTCAATCCTTTAGTCCCGTAAGAAATGAACCAGCGAGACCTCAACCTGCCAGACTGCAACCTCTGTCCAGCAGACCTCAGAGACCTGCGTTCAGGCCAGAGCCAAAGCCTTTTGTAGACGAAGACGATGACTACATTCAACCTGTAAGACAGTACTCTCGGCCACAAGAACCAATTCGAGCACCTGTAAAAAGTTCACCTCAACAAAAATACACTTCTAGTAATTCTCGAGAAAAGAAGCCTGTAGCTCAGACTATACGCAAATTCAGAGATGAAAATGAAGATGGAAGTATTTCTTGGGGATTTGAGAATGACGATGGATCTTTTAAAGAAGAAACAATTGGTGTAGACTGTATTACTCGCGGAAAATACGGATACGTCGATCCCGATGGTCTGAAACGAGAATATAATTACGAGACTGGAATAGCCTGCGATAAGACCAAAGAAGACAAGGAACAAAAAGGTTTCATTGACTACCAAGAAAACAAAGCAGTACTGCCTAATGGCATAACAATAGATCTCGCTGCGATGGGTAAAAAATCAAGAAGGCCATTCAGATCAGCGGGTAATCAGTAGGTTCTAAGTATGTAATGTATATTTATTTTAGGAATTCTAATTTTTAAGACAATTATTTGTCTTGTCATTTTGTGTTACATGAAACCATAATTTGTTGAAATGGTTTTGATCTAGCCTAAGCTGACAAATAATAAAAAAATAAAATTTAAAACATTTACTTACTCTTCCTTTAATAACATAAGATTAAATATTATAAGTAAATGTAAATTAGCTTATCCTTGTCTTGTTGAGTATATCGAATATTACTTTCTTACTCACCATTCCACAAAACTCTTTCCAGCTTTAGAGCAGAGTGATATTTACCAACATGCAAAATTAGTGATTTTGGTCCTTTGTAAGACGGTAGTGCTATAGCAGTCATCAAGCACATAATAAGCAATTTTTTTGTATTTGTTGAATATACTTAATACTTCAACATTCGATTTGTAATGTGTTCATAAAATATTTTATAATTAAAAAATTAATGAAAAGAAATTAAACTTCAAAAGTAATAGTGTGTAAGCATTGTATGGTTAACACTACATACTTAATACTTGGTGATATCAGCGAAACATATACAGAGTATCAGAACATATTATGACCAAAACTCTACTAGTTATATGGCCAATATAAATATTTACCCTGTATGGTATACAAATCCACAACCTTCCATATAAAGATGGTTAGTCAGACCACTCTCAGGAAGTAGAAACTATTAAATTTATAGGTAAGTACTTATAAAAGTATACAAAATATTATATATTTAATATTTATCCTACATATTTCTCATATAGGAAATAGTATCAATAAACTAAAATCCTTTACACGAAAATAAAATAAAATTACTCTTAAGTCTACACAGTATTAATTTATACTATGATCAGGATTCAGGAAATAGATATTGCCCGTGACAACTACAGAAATATACATAACCTTCACATTATAGTCTCAGTCAGTCAGTCTTAGTAAACATAAATGTTTTGTTAGTTTTTTTATTCAGACATCAAAATCCAGTTGTAAGATGTTTAAAATGAAAAATTTATAATTGAAAAAATATTATATTACACCACAATAAAAACTTATGGGAGGATATAAAGAGCAAAGTCAGGGTAACTGCCTAGTAGATTACTATAAACTGAATCTCGCTTCACTCAGGTGTATTTCTAAGTGCCTCCTAACAAGTAGCCTATTTGTTACTTCAGGTCATAGTCTATATACATACTTAATTAATCCAAATCCATCCAGTGATTTTAGGTTAAAGGAATATTAAACATACATTCACACATATATACGGTCTGTATGTGTGTATGTTTGATATTCTTTCAACCTAAGTCTGATTCTCCATTTCACAATATACTTATTTAGTAAAAGTTTGTAGCCATCACAAAGCAAATCTGCTTAATTTAGTTTGAAACTATATGAGACTAATGTATTTTACACATTAATGCAAATTGCAATTATGTAAATATATCACTAATCAGTAATAATCAGCTTTAACTTTATACAAAAAGTTGGATATAGAAAAAAAAGAAAAATTGTAAAAATGTATTTTTATTTTCATCTTACTTAAAGAAAAATGCACTTATATCAAAGAAATAATCTTAAAAATACTACTAATAAGGACGATTATTCATATATGGTTGGGGTCTCCGCATTGGAGGTGGCATTCTGTTTGGTGGCGTTATTGAAATATCCAAATAATTACCTATTTGAAATTTCACTTGAGCAAGTGTTTTGTTGTCATCACCACCACGTTGACCAGAACAAGTAACTCCAATTTCTCGCATACGATAAGTGGGTGATCTCATATCAGGATATACTATAGCGAAGTCGAAATATGTCCCTTTGCGTCGAGTTTCTGGATTAACTTCTTTTACTAACCCTGTTAATTCCCGTAATGTAGCATCCATCCACGTATATATTTGCAGCTCATTTTGAGGAACATTACCTCTAGCATAGTCACCTGGTGAATTGTGCCTTCCAGTTGAACAAAATACTCGTAACAGAAGGGGGCACGTCTAAAAATTATTTAGAAATAGTTTCAATATGTATTCATACTAATACCTATTTAAATATTTTTTCATGAAATAAGAAAATGTTATTACCTTTTCTCTGTCAACAGGCTTCTCTGCCGGTCTAACCTCTTCAACCACCATAGATTCTAATCCTGCCATTTTCATAATCTAATCTTTATCTAGTTCTTTTATAAAACTTATTTCGGAATTTATATAATGCAACACTTATATTTCAATCGGTTTTTGGAGGAAATAATGTTTTTAAACTATCTTAAATGCAACATTTATTTGAGATATAGATCATTGATGACAAATAAAATCACAGACCAGGAACATCAAAATAAAATAATGTAGATAAACATTAAAACCACAGGTTAGTAATAAATAATTGCAGACTATATAATGAGGAAGTTTTCTCGAACGGAAGGCGCTAAAGGTATGACCTATTTACATTCAGTCTGAGGTTAAGCAATTTATTAAGATATCTCTTTTATACCTGATTCTTTACTTCTTTGCTATATCATAAGTACATGGGAATGTATGGAGGACCGCATACCATAAACCAGATAGATGCTTGACAAAATAATCAAAAAAAACCACTTCGGCCGCGTTTTGATTAATCAGTCGAACAACTTTCGACCGACAACTTATTATGTAGGTATTGCTATTTATTGGAGCTTGCATAAGCTCGACTAAAAAGTTGATCCATGACAGTAGTGCTGCTATTTTAGCGCTCTGGGCGCTAGATCTAGTGCCTTTTTGGTATGTTTACCGCACATTTCAAAATTTTATACATCGATATTATGTGAGCGTTTTTTTTTGTTTATGTCAAGGCAATATTGTTAATCTATATCACGGATACACTATTAGCGGAGAAATCTCCTTTATTAAATTTTCGTTGATGGTTTTGTTTTCATTCAATCGTTTCTCAGTTTCAGTCAGTTGTTTAGAGCACAGCTAAATTAAAACTTACTTGGAAGTTGGAAGTTACAATACAAAGAAGGTCCGTCCGCAAATATTCAGTTTTGTGTATATTTTTTCATTAGTATTAGTACTAATGCCATTCTGATGATTCAAACAAGACTGTTGTAATGACAGCATTATTGCTATAATTATGAACTTCCAGTCGATGTCCTGCGAAGGATTGAGACATCTCAATACATACTCTAAAAAAACGCTGATAAAGCTGACACTAGTTTAGTAATGGGTGATTAACTTTTTGATATAAGATTAAGTCTTTAATGTTGTTTTTCATTATCATAATAATGATGACGAAATTAAACGATTTGGTTTTATGTTTGTTTGTGTTTTTGAATTAAAAGTGTGTAACTGAGGGGTAAGTCAATACATGAGGAAAATGAGTGTCGTGGAAGTAAGAATCAGATTTATTATTCATAATTTAAAAAAATATATAATATTTATATTTTTATATTTTTTTTTTAATTTTATCATTTTCATATTATAAAATTACTAATAATAAAAATATGTTTTTATTATTAGTAATTTTATAATAATTACTACTTATAAAAATGAATATTTACTATAAGCAAAGCACAGGCGTGTACTATTTTAATTTACCATTGCCATTGTATCTAAATTTAATTGAGTTCTACAAAACAACCACTTAATAGACGAAACTAAAGAAAACTAAAATAAATCAATTACGACTGGGTTGATTGTATGCGTACCATCGTCGACTAAACTGTTTGATCGTCATAAAATCAACACAAGCACAGAACTCGATTAAACAGTTTGATCAATGTAACAATTGTATAATGTAGGTTCTACAATTTACTGAAGAGTGAGGGCCATAGTGATCGCGCTATCTGGCGGGAGAAAAAAACAAAACTTTCCTCGATTGTTTTCTTGTCGCTGCATAATATCTAATGCAGAAAGTGACGTTTTTGACATTTTACATTAATCGATTAGTTATTGTTTTACGAAAATACCTACATTGTAGATTGACGCTATTGTAATCAATAATTGAAAAGTATACCTATTGAAGACTATTTTATATTTGTTCGGATTTAAACTTAATGAATGATGGCAAACAAAGAAGAGGATGAGACATTTCAAGAAAATGACGTTTATATTAACCCCGAAGATGGGATGCCTAATATTCATCCTAATATTGCTAATTTAGTCCAAGAAAGCGATTGCCTAAGTGAAATGAATGAATTTGATGACTTGCCTAAATCTGTGATCGTAACAAATATTCATAGTGATGTATTTGCTGATGAAAAATTAAAAAAAGAATTGGAAGATATCTTTCGTAAATTTTCGGATAATATATCGTTTCACTGGTTACGAAGTTTTAAGCGCTTACGTGTTAATTTTGATAGCCCTCTTGCAGCGGCTAGCGCTCGTGTTCAACTACATCAGTACCAATTTTATAATTCTTGCATTAATTGTTATTTCGCTCAACCTGTAACACCAATATCTCTTAAAAACTTAAGGCCCCCTGCTCCGGTGAAACAATTTTTGATATCTCCGCCTGCAAGTCCTCCTATTGGATGGGAACCACGAGAGGAAGGTGAACCTATAGTTAATCCTGACTTGTTAGCTGCTATAGCAAGCTTAACACCAGGGGAAAGCCATGAATTACATGCACCAACACCTACGCAACCTGCTATAATTGTACATACTGCACTATCAACAGAAGCAAATTCTGAAACTGTTGGCTGCCCAATACCACATACTCGCTGTCCTGAATATTGATATGCCCAGTTCGAATAGTTTAGGTAATTTTCATTGAATGTAGATGGTTAAATGCTTTCATTCTATCACACTATGTCAATTTTTAATGACCAGTGATGCCAAAGATTACATTGTTACTTTTTACAAGTCATAACAAATCATAGGCTGACAGTATTGGGTAAATGGTTTTTATCACTAATGGTAGGCTTGTAGTTTGGCTTATTAGTTATTTATTTTTGACAAATATTTAAAATTCAATTGGTGCTATTTTTTAACATTTACATTGCTTATGTTTGTATTAGAATAAAATAGAGAATTCATATTTACTGTTTGTTATGAGAATCATCATTGCAATATAAATAACTACCTTGTTGTTGAATACTGAATTTATTATAATAAATATAAGCAAGTAATGTATGAAAAAGTGTATGAAAAATGAACAAAAATAAGTTGCTTTACTTATTCAATTCATTAACAAGAGAAAACTGCATAAGTATAACTATAGAGAAATACATTCATATATTTCAAAGTCTACACCCAAAAGCTCTTACTTTTATGTTTAATTTCAAGAAATGGCCAATTCAGCAATATATCTTATAGAATATATATAATTAATATTATTTTTAGTTGAGCATATCCTTTTTATAAAATGAAACTACAAAAATGTTTGTGGTACTCTATGAATTATCACCATCTTATTGTGATAATGAACACAAAGAAAACTTTAGCTTGTTATAAAATAATTGCAAGATTGCAAATCAATATGCAAATTTTATAATGTTTTGAACCTAATAATTTTTGTTATGGTAAGAACATTTATTTTAAAGATATTTTCTTATATCTCATTTATTTGAAATTTTGATTTACGATCTGTAGATAAATTTGCTCAATAATTGTGTTATGGTACTTACATATTAACTCCACCGCTGTAGGTTGGCAGGTTGGCGGCACTTAAATCTGTAGCTAATACGTAAGTATCTGTATTATTAAAGTCACAATTGAAATATGACTATAAAACAAAAATTGTTAAGCATCAGCTTACAAATGTAACAAATTATATAATAAAGTTTCTCAAAAATGTTCCTTAGATATATATATATATATATATGTTAATTTATTATAGAAATTTAATTTTACTTGTAATCATCAAAACAGATTAAGCTTTTAATGGAATTCATACAAATTTTACTATTTCAATTAATATTTATAAGTATTATTATTTTCTGCACAAATATAAAGTACAATATGTATCTATGCAAGTGCTATTGTATTATGTATGTAGCAATGTTACTGAAGAAATGTTAAACTTTGATTATTTTTGAATTTTAAACATCAAGTGCTAGAACATAATTACAGGGATATTATTTGCTACTGTTGCTACTGAAATATTATTGTAGAAATATTTTGTCACTTGCTTGCTATATATTCGCTATATTTAGTGTCAGCTAGTGTAATATATGTTTGTAAGTTTGTTCACTTACACTGTTGTCTCATTGTTGCCCTTCAATCTAAAATGTTGGAAATATATTAGCTTTGATTATATTTTATCAAAAAAGATTATTACACTATAAGAAATTTATTTTTTGCTGTAAATTCTTAGTATTGAACATTGTTTCACTTGTTAACATATTATTACATACAAGTATATTTAAGCATTTCATGACGCGTTTGACGAAAACCTATCGGCCGTAATTTAAAATTATAACTAAAATTACATGATCTATATCCCTACCTTATTTACCATCCATAAAGATAATAAAATAGGTTACACTAGTCAAAATAAATAAAAGTTAGTAATTTTGATTTTAATTTACACATAATTGAAAAAAAAAACTTGTGTAATGGTTATTATGGATCAGTACTAAATGTTTAATTAGACAAGTTTAGAATTTAATATTTAATAAATCTATTTCAGTAACCAATACACCTTATTATACTCGTACTTAGAGATTGCAAGTACTGTTCTAGATGTGATTTTATATTTCTTTCAAAGATATGGCTAAGTAAACTAGAATCGCGTAATTTATTAGTTTTGAGGGTATTAGTCTGAATTGGAATGATAATTATAATGGCGATATCGACAAATTGTGATCAAGAAATCAATTAAAATATAACTTATCTATATTTTAAATAAGTTAAAAGATAAAGATTATAAATTTTTTAAAAGCTTCTTCTAGTCTACAATAGAAAGATCGTTTAAAGCTGATATATTTAAAAAAAATGCTGCCATATGTCGTTTTCGCCTTTTCCAATTTAAATACAGATAGAACCCAATACCTATTTAAAGCAAATTCATATTGAGTATGTAGGTGTTTAGATATTAGATATACTTAGGTCGCGCTGATTGCGCGATGAAATGGAAAATTTTATCAGAGTTATAGATTCATATTTTTGGAATACATGTAGACATAAAAAAATACTTATAACTCGATATTAATTTCTTGTCTGCTTTCAATTAGGCCTTGCGTGATGTACTTGTTAGCGTAATTTCTTACGTTTTATTTTTTTTATATTATTATTTTTAGAATAATCAAGATTTATATATATATATATATATAGATATAATTCTTTTTTTAATTAAACAGGATTGCAACTTTGTTATTACTCTAGTACGCTCGGCTCGCTATGTTCCTCTAAATTTATTTATTAGTTAGATATTTATTTAGTTGCTTTTAAAGTTTAAATTGTTTAATTATTAATTAATTAGGTTATATTATTATTAAATTAAATGTGTAACCAATTCAACTATGGTAATAGTTATGTTGTATATTGTCAGTCTGAATGGAACTGTTTTGGATTTTCTTTCGCTTTGTTGAACTATATTAATGGAATTTGTCAACTACACCGTGGAATATGTAGGCAGTTCCCATAACACCCATATTGTGTTATACCAATTGGTACAGTTGTCAATTTCTGTACCATTCGGTGAACTTGGCATGTTTCATTGCTTGGAAGAAGAAGACATTAGAGATTTCACAGAAACTTGCTACCAACTTTGTCTATAGGTAAAGAAGCTGCACGAAATTTTGTATGTGTTTGCCTAAATTGCGTGTAAACAAAAATTTTCAGTGTTTAAGTATGTTATATGGAAAAGTGAATCTCGTTCTTTATTCAAGTTATGATATTCTTGTTCGTAAAATCGTTGTTATCTAAAATCAGTAGTAACTTTTCTGATTCTTACTATTGAACTTACACTAGTATATCTCAATTGTCCTTTTAATCTCACTGTGATGTCTATGTTTATTGTTTGATGTAAATATTAAATTATATTGAGTTTGTATTGATCGAATTTTATTTTCATCACCTGTATACTTATTCCATCTACTAGACGTGTCCCGCCGACTGGAGAAACGACAATTTGATACGACCGGTTAGAAATGAGGCACAGGACCATCTGAAGCACGAGGTTATACCTACATAATATTGCCGTCTTCCCAACTCCGGGCTGCTACTGAGCATTTTGTGACAAAAACCCAGTTTTGAACCGACCCAGGACTAAAAGCTGCATCCCGGGGGAGAAGCCAAGTCCTACCGGGCGCGTCCCCCAGGTGGCGGATAGGGGAATGCCACCCGCTTAGGGCGGCGGGTGGTACCGGAGAAATCCGGCCCGGACCAAATGGCTTGGGTAGGGCCGCTCGTCTAGGCCTCGAGCCGAAGACGTTGCGTGGTGGGACCGCTTTGTCCCACAACCGGATGATGGGTGCCGGTTGCGGGACCGTGGTCGCAGGCCCGCATCCACATCGCATCCGCATCGAGGGTAGGGTGAGGTGGTATGCGTAAATGCATTTCCCGGCATAAAAAAAGGACTAAAAGCTGCATAATACTATGTTCCCTTGTCATCTTGTTTTCATCTTTTTAGTTAGCTTTTTACGCAGTCGGGTGTTTGTATACTGTAAATTATTATAATTGCAAGCAAATTATGCTTTAACACTGTATTTAAGCGTAATAAGAAATATTTAGTATAATCTATACATATATTATATAATATATATACTAGCAGAACCCGTCGCTTCGCTCGCGCTAAAAGTACAAAAAAAAAACTGAAAAGGTAGGTTTCATACAAACTTTCAACCCCTATTTTGCCCCTTATGGGATAAATTTCGAAAAATGATGAAACACGTATTTATTTAATTGTATTGAAGAGCATTAATACCAAGTTTCAAGTAATTATGAACATAAATATTTTTTTGAGTTGTATCATAATGTGTTTTCCTGTGGGAATATGAAGTGCTTTGTCCTCACTAACTGATGGATCAATGCACACCTTAAACCGCTGGCAGTAGAAACGTGAAATTTGGAGGACGTATTCCTTATAAAATATAGGCTAAGTAAGAAAGGATTTTTCGAAATTCATCCCTAAGGGGGTTAAATAGTGGATGAAAGATCGTATGAAGCTATCATTCTTAATGTGAAATGTACGAAAAGTGGTATTTAGCCTAAAAATAAAATATATAATAAAATCTACTTATTCGATTTTTTCGTAATTCGTCCCATATAGGGTAAAAGGAAATCGTAAAGTTTATATGGGTAGAAAATTGTTTATGATCAGAATTACCTACTTGAAACTTGGAAAAAGGTAATGCTCTTCAATACAATGAAATAAATACGTATTTTAGCATTTTTCAAAAATTATCCCGTATTAAAGATAGTGCTGGTAAAATAGTGGATGGAAGTTTGTATGAACATCTGTTTTTTTTTGTGAAATGCTCGTGGTATTTACCTTTAAAATAAAAAATAAAACTTAAATTCATCCATTTAAAGGGAAAAAGGGGGTTATAATTTTTATATAAGAAAAAAAAATGGTCAGAATTAGGTACTTGAAACTTGGTATTAAATATTAATGACACGGTAATGTTTATGCCATGAACGAATTGTTAAATAATCACATGTTGTAGCATCATCTGTAGGTAATTCATCCCGTAAGAGAGTAAAATGTGGGATGAAAATTGAAAATTTGTAATTTATTTGTATGAACTAGCGACTCACCCTCGCTTCACTCAAGTTCGTCCCTAGGTACATTTTAATTTTTATGAGTGGAATCCTAATTCTTTTACTGAAATAAAAGTACCCAAGGCAATATTTTGTACTTTTAAAATAAAACCATTATGACTGGGTAATTGTTAGCCTAGATATTTACGTAAATATTAGAAATACCTAAAATTGTTAAAATTGACAAAGATAATGAGTGGCGACATTGCCTTTAATATATAATAAAAATAGTTATAGCGAGTGTACCTTAGGAGATAAACATATACTATTCCAGACTTTTCTGTAAGCCTTTTCAAGAATTACAATTTTTTAGTAGGTACATTGTTTTGATCTATGCCATATGAAGGTTTAGCCAGTGGAAGGTTTCTAGGACGACTCGATAAAACCAGTTATTGTGTTTTCCCGTGAGAAAGAAAGATTTTCCTGAAGTAAAAGGTATCCTAAGTGTTGACCCGTCACCGGAGTAATAAGTTATTACTTCTCTTATCATAGACAAAGAGACAGACACAAATTTTAATAACTATTGTTTTGGGGTCTATATTGTGTTATTATGTACACGTAACAGTCATTGTTATTAAAAATATTTCTTGTACAGATTTCGCTAAGTGACTTCTTTATTATAATTGTAATATGTAGATAATTTAAAAAAAATAATAAAATTAAACATAAATAATACCACATACCTATTTAACATATTCTATACCTGACATTATAAAATAATAAACACATTCAAACTGGAGATTCATTTATTGATTGATAATAATGGTGTCCACAGATAGCATCAAATCTCAACACACTTAAAACATATTCACAATATGTTAATATACCTATATGCTATTTAAAATAATACAATGTACTTTTAAAGCACTGTGTGATTTAATGCCTTTTTTAATTGTACTTATGAAGTAATCAAGAACATTCTTTGAATACATTAATTTTATTTGTTTGGCACACAATTTGTACTTAACTATAATTTTAATGAGATTTATTTTGACTAAAATAAAACAAAGACCTTTAAGGTGAGGAATAATTTTTAACCAATTTTAAGATTATTTACTTTGTAAGATCTAAACATTTCGAATAATATATAGGTAACTAGATTTATCCTCCATAAACTTCATTTAACAGTTAATTACCTAGTACATATCACCCAAAATCCTTTGGTAAAGCGCGCAAGTGATGTACTTATTAGGTATAATTAATAGATATGACTGTCTTACTAATATATACCGACTTGATTTATGTATCTGTCTGTATTTTATACGAATGGACACTAAAGTTTTATGATTTAGTTTTACATAATATAAAACATTATCACTACGACATTGACAACAAAATATTTAATGTATGGTCCCAATCTGAACACTAATAACGCCTATAACTAATTTCCATTTTATATCGCATTCATATATTTGTAATAAAATATTTTATACTTTATGTAATCCTAATATTATCTACATTATATATATTCTATGGGTATAATTGTATAATTCTACACAATACAATTCTGTATTATGTACAATGTACGTTAACAATACTTATTGTCTTTATAATCACATTTTGTTGGACGCATCTCATTAAGTAACTGCATAATTTAGCAGTGGTAACATTTTTCTTGGACGGAATTGATACTGTGATCTTCCCTATATTCTCCAGTAATGGAAACTTTGCGAGACATGTAGTGCAATGTTGTTATACTTTTTTATTAATATCCTCTAAAGGGACCATTGATTCTGCTGCTTTATCATCTACAGTGTATGTGTCATTGTCATCACTTTTTCCCAAACAACTGAAACACGTGTCACCTTTACCAAAGTTTTCTCCGTCCGCCAAAGACTGTGGCATCGGTTGATTCATTGTTTCTGGCAAAAAACAGCATAAAAATCCTGATACAAGAGCTACGAGACCAAAAATTACTGCAGGGATCTTAGGATCAAAGGAATCCAGTAAAGTAATTAAAGGAGTCGTGGCTCCCGATAATCTTGCGCACATCGAGCCTAAACCTATAGCTGAATTACGGACTACGGTAGGAAATAATTCTGCAGAATAGTTATATACTATTGCGAAAGATCCGGCTATAAAAAGCTTGCCTGCTACGACAATGACAGTCGACACGACAGTGCCTGTAGGAACAAATGCCGCAATTATACACGCCGAACCACCAATTACCATCATTGAACTAATAAGCAATCTGCGTCCCCAAATGTCGAGGAAATATATTACAGCAGCGTAACTCGGGAACTCTACTAAGCCAAAAACCGCTGTTATTAGGTACGGATTGCCTTCCAGCTTACCGCTACTAAGAGTGAGCCCATAATATACCAATGAGTTAGCAAACCAGCACAAACAAACATTCAATGTTTTGTTTCGTAGATTAGGTGTTCTAAACAGATCTAATGTGCTAGCAGATGGTTCATCCCTTACTTTGGACAATTCCACTTTTCCTTTTGAGACTAGCTGTGCTCTATCCAAAACTTCATCTGATCTATTGAAATTTAAAGCTTTTTGAACAATATCGACCGCTTCTTTGGGTCTGCCTTGCGCCCATAGCCAACGTGGTGACTCGTCCATAATCCAAATATGTGGTATAAGAAGAAGACCATGTAATCCATAGACAACTTGTAAAATTAACCTATTATCAATAATTGCTCCCCAACCAGCAACTAACATTATACCAAGGGCAAATGCACATTGAAATGCGACACCGCATGCAGTTCTCTTTTTTGCGCCAACAATTTCCATTGTTAATACAAATGCGGGAATATACGCACCAGCGGATCCAAAAATTGCATAAAAGAACATACCAACCAAAAAAGACCAGTACTCAGGGATAAATGAAACAACCACTCCCAAAATTAATTGTAATACGCCTGACCAGCAGAAAACTGTCTTTCTACCTATCTTATCCGCTAAACCTCCCAAAAATACCGCGCCAGTAAATACTCCCAACATGAACACAGTTTGAGCTACAGCGCCCTTCCATCGTTGATCGCAAACTAGATTCCATTCGATTGCGCGGGATGAAGTCCTGTACCGGGTGTCGAAAACCCATCTGTTGCAAGTGATAGATACATTGTCCTCATTATACATGTGACAGCTATCAAGAACGCCAGATGGTGTCAGGGGTATAGATTCTAATATTTCTGATGAGTTCCAAGCTGCCGCCGCTTCATTTGTATCCACTCCGTCTATCCAGCACCTGAAATATTTTATAATATTTATCAATAAAATTTTAAAATAGTAAAAAACATTATTTTTTATATTTTGTTGCTACTTTTACTTTGGTTAAAATTATAAACCTTTATTGTAATTATAATGTCATAATTTCCTTAATTACCTAAGAAATACCTAAAATTCATAAATTAAAACATTTACATGGTTATATTGAAACATTGTATGTATATTTAAAAATATATATGAAGAAGATATTTGCAATAAAGAATATTGAGCTTTCAGTGTCGCGTGCATATATTTATATATCATTTAAGCATAAATCACAGGAAATAAACTGGACAGATTTTAATGGTTTTATTACATTTTGATTATAATGACTATGGTATGATAAATACTGAATTCGGTAAAGTAGATCCAAAGTACGTACATACAATAGATTTGTAATGGTTGAAGAAACGATAAATAAAAGTTAAGAAAAAGTAAAATATTTGAAAGAAAAGAAAAAGAAATCTACTTGTAGTTCTACAATTTCTCATTTTTTTGTGAATGACTATTTTATTTGTGAAAACATTGTTATGCTCGTATTACTTTAGAAGTTATAGGGTATTAATAAAATTACTATACAAATATGTATAATATGTATAGTATAGTAAATTAATAGGTTAATAAAATACATTCTTAATTTTTAATTAAAATATCTGTGTGTAGATGCTCGAATTCTAGGGAGGAAAATAAAAGTCGATGAGGTTTATTGAATATTTTTATTAATAAAAAAATACAAATTTATCAAAAATGAAAAAAATTTAACATATTTTAATATGAAGTCTAAATTGATCCATATGAGCGTGTCGTACTTATTACTTTAGGTACTAATATTTAGGTATTTATAAAGATAAGGCAGTACCAGAGTAAAATGTTAACAAGTAAATATAAGATTTTAAATCTGTACTACATATAAAATAACCTTTTTGTTGACATTATGATTAGATCTGTTTTACTTTAACACGTAATAGTATAAAAACTTATACTATTGTACTATTTTAACACATAAAAAAGCGTGTTAATCAGTGAAAAGTCAAATAGAAGTATCTAAACGTAATAGTGATATTAATTTTGTAATTAGCAGTTAAAATTCATTAATATCACGTTTAAAATTCTTTGAATTTTAATATAAGTCATCTCAGTTAATAGTCACATCCCTTCATCTAAAATGGCAGTGTTTTATTTCTTAATGGATGTTTGACTATAATTAAAATGGTGTTTGAAATATCTATGCATTTGCTTAAGTTTTCAACTTTCACAAGCTAGCGACTAGTCGTTATGTATAATGTATATCAAAATAAAAGTGTTATAGAAAATACCTTAATCCTATAAAATATTTTTTGTCTATGAAAACACTTAATAAAAATGCAACAAAATAAATTTATAAAATTTAAAACAAAGTAACATTGAACTTCACTGGGGTCCATTTTTCTGATAATAAAAATTGAATGTACCTACCTACTCAAAATTTTTTGATATCAATATCACTTGTTGCATAGCAGTGCAATTTTTGTAATGCGTATCCTAAATGTAATCTTTGCATTGTTATTTCTTTGTCATCAGTACCATCCAGTCTAATGTCTTCAAACATAATTTGACTAGATCAATTCTAAGGTCATGTTGATAATATAATTTTCACAACTAACAATTTAGCCTTAACTAAGCTTCTTAATTTTTTATACCCTAATTCCATGAAAATACTTAAGAAAATTAATAAATTTATTATGCACTTACATAAGAACATCAAGTATGTCAAAATTAAAATAAATTTATTAATAAATTCTAATTAATAGCGGCTAGAAATAGTTATCGAAATACATTCGCCTATTAGTTAAATATGTATATTTAGTTTATATTTAAACGTGAGTTAGGTATAAACGCAAAGTTCTTTCTGTTATTGCTGTTGAAAACAATTGATAAATTATGGTGGAGATTGATTTCTCTAGTGGTTGTTTTTGGCTATCATTTACTTAATAGTAACAGTTCTAGAAATATACTTTTCTGTCGTATATTCTGATCATACTTTTATAAACATTAAACATACACTTAATAGTGACCTTAACATTCGAAATTTGTTCTGCAACTTGCCAGTCGGGAATCTACTCGCCGCCAATAACCTAAACTGCTTGGTTATGATTTCTTGACATCTAAAGGAATCATTGTTTCGGGAATATCTGTTGAAATTTCACTCATTCGTCGCCCACTGCAGTTAGTAAAGCAAGTATCGCCTATTCCGAATTTTTCTCCATCTTCTATAGATTGAGGTAATGAACGACCAATAGTCTCGGGTAGGAGAAATGTAGAAAATCCAGACAGTAAGGCCAAGAATCCAAGGATTATTGTAGGAACTTTTGGATTTAATGTATCGAGGAGACTAATTAATGGTGCCAAGGCGCCCGATACACTAGCGCACATGCTGCCAAGCCCAACTCCAGAACTCCGAACAACTGTAGGAAATAATTCAGCTGAATATTTGTAAATAATAGAATACGAGCCAGATATAAAAAATTTGCCAATCATGACAACTCCTGTAGCCGCTGGAGACCCATGAGGAAGGGCAACGACGACTAAACATGATATTCCACCCAATAACATCATAACGCTAATGAGAGCTCTGTGACCAACACGATCTATATAATACATTATTATTATGTAACTAGGCATTTCAACTACGCCCATTAGAAAAATTATAAAATAAGGATTTCCGTTTAATTTTCCAGCATTAAGTGAAAGGCCATAATATACTACAGAATTAGCAAACCAACAACCACATATAATTAGCGTTTTCTTTAACATATTTGGTGTTCTAAAAAGACCTAAAGTTCCAGATGACTGATCTTCTGTGTATTTGGTACTAGTTAATTTACAATTAGACACTAAAGCAGGTGTATCAATAACTTCATTAGATCTGTTCATTTTTAAAGCCTTTTCAATAATTGCTACAGATTCACGAGCTCGACCCTGCGCCCAAAGCCATCTTGGTGATTCGTCCATTAAAAACCAATGAGGCAAAAGAATAGCCGCATGCAGGGCATATACTATTTGTAAATAAAACCTATTATCTATAAGATATCCCCATCCAGCTACAAGTATTATACCGAAAGCAAACATTACTTGAAAAGTCACTCCACATAATGTACGACGACTTGGACCTATTAATTCCATCGTCAAAACAAATCCAGCAATATAAGAACCAGACCCAAAGATCCCGTATAAGAATCTTATGACAACAAACATATAATATCCCGTAGAAAATGCAACAGAGGCTCCGAAGAGTAATTGAAGAATACCAGACCAGACAAATACGGTTTTCCTTCCAAATGAATCACAGAGACGTCCGAGCACGATTGATCCTAGAACTACACCAAACATATAGACTGTTTGAGAAGCAGCGCCCATCCAACGTCGATGACAAACGAAATCCCATTCGATACCACGTGATGAAGTATAATATTGAGTATCGTATACCCATGACTGACAATCTTCTAGAGACTTATTTACAGCGTACATCTTACAAGATTCCAACTTTCCGTGATCATTAAGAGGAATAAGCTGTGTTACTAACGATGAATTCCAGGGTTCTGTATAGTTTTGACTGTCTACTCCTTTAATGGCGCACCTGCAATACAAAATCAGAGTTTCGTTACAAAATGTTATAAAAAAATCGATTAAGCACTGTGCAAGAGAAGAAATTTAAATATAATGAGAGTGCTACCTCACTTTTTGTACATTATTCATACGGCAATACTGATAAGTTACATGAGACTGAAATATGTATCAATTTTTTTAGTGTGACGATGATACTTGGAAATGAATAAAAATTTAAAAGTTAACAACGGAATGTGATTAATAATAATATTAGTCAGATTATTTTAAACATGCGTTTATTATGTTCACTACATATACGAGTATGTACGTTAGAACTGCGTGGATTACAATAAAACATTCATAAATGCAACAAGTATATAATAATGAAATATATGAATAACAGTGAAAATTATATGTAAATAATAATTATAAGTATATTAAATTGTTGTGATGTTATGAATTAAAGATTAAGACAAAAAAGCCCAGGATCTTTTATGCTACACACTCAACACACACACACACACAAACACATACGCCAGACTTAATATGAATTTCGTAATCAGTTGTGAATTAAAGCAGTTACTAATTAGATTAGGAAATACTTACTTTTATTTATCTTTTTGTAGGAAAAATCACCAGCTTAAATATAAGCAGGGAACCTGAGACCCAAAAAAGCTTACTTAACAATTTGCAATTTGGTCGTAGACAGAAACTTTCATAAAATAATTAGTTAAGCGAAACAATATCCCATATACATTTACGCGTATATATTATACATAGTTGACGTCGTCAGTCCGTTTGTTAATAAATATTATGTATGGAAACGTATTGAGTAAAACTCATGGTTTATATTTGCAAGACTAAATTATTGCGATTAAGCAAAAACACGAACACATTTTACATTGATGGATACATAATAAAGACGTTTTCAATTATATAATAGATATTAATGCCTAAATTAAAAGAAGTTCATATGTTTTAGTACAATAGACGTCATTTTAAAAATTAGATACTGTAAATTATATAATTTCAATGTCAAAGCAAGGAATGTAAAAGTGTAAAATTTATTGAAAACCTTTGAATTTTTTATCAACATGCACATGCATTGTAAAGTAAAAACAAATAGTTTTAATTTAATTTATGTCGAACTGTTTATTACACTACCCACATTTTTAAAAATCATTTGAGGGAAATCCGAGTAAAAGCAATACACCCTTTTTATACTTTTTACCCTCAATATCTATATGTAATGCCCAAAATATGTAAATATATGAAAATATGTACCATGTCATAACATACACAAAATACAAAGAACAATAAAGGCATATTTTAGTAAACTTTCTTTAAGACAAAGCAACATTTCGTGTCATCCAAATAAAAATGTCATCTTGGTCACACTCTGCCTTTATTTTTCTTTAATAAAAAGCGGAGCTTTTGAAGATGTATTTGGCGTTGATCCAGAACTACCCATTTCATCCAAGTATTCACATCACCTATTTCACAGTCTACAGTACAACTTGTCGTATTTTTAAGCTGACTGTAATGTTCAAATATTAGATAATCATATAAAATTACTAATTTATATAAGATAAAAATAATACAAAGAAATTAGATGCTATTACAAAATACTAGATACTACATGTAACTGTTTAACGTCACATTTCGTCTGACCCACTTATTGAGGAAATTGTGGATTTAAATAGATCGCTTTTGCTACTTCTAGCGTTCATTGTTAATCCACTTGATTTATTATATTTTACGTGACTTTTGAGTTATTTTTAAATCCATATTTATTTTAGAATATCCACTAGCTATGAAGGCAATTATATAATTTTTATATATTATAGTATGTAAATAATAAACCCACGCACCTATGATCTGGCACCGCGGCTACAGTGACAAGAGATAACATGTGAATACCGGCCGTCATTGCAGCTAATATATGAAGGAAAAACTGGAAGCCTTGATATCTCCCGAAGTCTCCTGAAATTTAAGACATGATTCATATTAGTCATTTATTATCAAAATAAAGAATGAATTGTTGTTCCAGTTATGGAAGTTTCCAATGAATACAAGAGTATTAAATAATAAAAATCATTAATCGTATTAATTTTTCTGCTTCAACGCTTCATATTATTAATAGGTAGATATGTAATATGAAATTTTAAGTAATTACGTATTGTATACACCTATATTTTACAATAATATTATTTAACACATATTTCCAATGGTATTGACGAATATTTCTAACATAAAATTAGATTTTTACGGTTTATTCGTATATTAAATGCTGTTGTTAATTTTTAACTCTACTCTTAACCAGGGACACATCAGTAAAAGATCTTTATTATAATGACAAAAGAAACAAATCTGCTTACATCTAGTTAAGTATCGCACAGGATGACGGCAATGATGTGTTTCAATTTTTTTTTAATTATCTCTTACGAAGATACCTACATCAATCCTATTACTTGCCAAGACTGTGTTATTCTCATACATCTAAGTAAAAATACAAATATGATAACAATTTATTAAATAAATATACAAGATAATTATTATTTACTCTTATTATATTATTTACTCTTATTTCATGTGTACATAGCAATCGTTACTCCATATTTTAGATTTTATTAAATGGCTACATTATATGTACATACTGTCCAAAGTCTCCAGTCTTAAAGTTATTATACCTACCTATTAATTGTAAATTATAAACAAAAAATAATGGGTTAGAGCGATTTTGATTTATAGAAAAATAAAATGAATTCTTCAAAAATGATTGAACTCTATCTTTGCTGACCACACAAAAATTATCCAACAAATTACAAAAGTAATATCGCCTAATAGTGTTAAAATGTTGTAATCTATTGTTGTTGCCTCGTACACGTGGTCCTTATTATAATTTAATTTAATTATCACTAATCAAAATATGTATACACAATTGGTATTTCAATAAAAAATCTGACTTTTTTAGTTACAAGTAACAGACAAATTAATTAACACAATGATAACATAGAAATAGTGTAATATAAAAAAAAATAGTATTCTCGTAATATTTTTTAACATATTACATTTATTTAATAAAAACATAGTGATATCTGCAATAAAAGCAATTCTCTTATCGTATGTAAATGTTGTATATATTGAGTAATTCGATAGGTAATATCTTAGTTTCATGCTGTTTTGTAAAAGTCGATATCTATACTAATAATCCCTTAAGGGGGTAAAAATGGGGATGAAAGTTTATCTTGGCAATCAAGCTAGAGACAAACCCGCGCGAAGTGAGGGTGAGTCGCTAGTTAAAAAATATTTAGAACTAATAATTGATGCACTAATTATAATAATTAAAGACTTTATTGATTATTATATTTTACATTTCAATTGAAAGATAACTCGGTCAAGGACTTCGAGAACCTTTAATCTGATGTTTAAAAGATTGCTGTACGAGTATTAGTTGCATTCGGTACCTACTTATACTGACGTTCGTATGGCCATTCACTTTCATATCGAACAATTTTAAAGTTAGTTATTTCATACAAGTATACGTATGTATATATATGTAATAGACAATGTATGATAGTTTATATAATTTTCCTGCTTTACTTCAATTTTGTACAAATAGTATCGAAAGCTTTAGATTTATTTAAATTATTATAGCTGTTGACTTTAAAAATCAATAAAGGACCGTCTAACTCTAACCCTTTTTAATACAGTTTTACGGCTACGCAATACCGTAAAAAACTATAGTATTTATAGTATTCGACAGACTTGATACAAAATAGATTTTTTTTTATAAATTACTCAAACATGGGGAAACTACATCGAAATTAAATTATTGAGTGTATCGTTATAGGTCTTAAATCTTTATGCAATTTGGTATAACTTAACAAGCACATTTAAATACCATATTTATACTAAAAACCACTTACTTTACTTACTTCAGTTGACATGAATTCTTTAGAATACTACTGAATATTGGATCCAAGTTTATATTAAATTTCCTTACACTTAGCCACGTGTTTATTATGATAGCTATTGTTTGACCTTGTTTTCTCCTCAACATATTTTTAACGTTGGGAAATTCATGAAGCCTCTACGCGAACATAGTTAAATGTAATTATCAACATGATTTTAAGACTACTATAAATTTGAATGAAAGATAACATGCGTATTACACAAGAATTGTATAAATAGGTAGTTTCCAATTTATTTTAATTGATTATTTTTTCAATGTTTCTAACTCTACCTGAAATATTAACTTAAAAAAATTATAAAGCGTCGAACGTTATGTCATCTTTAACAAATTGTAATGTTTACTATAAAAATAAAAAATCTATCAACTTGCAACTAATAATTATCAGTCATTTTTATACTGTTTAGAATATCAATAATTATTTATTATCTTTACTTCATACATTTATCTAATAAATAATTACATAGTTATGAAATATTGTAATAAATTCTTTTGCAGATGCAATAAAAATAATGACATGAGACATAAAAATTGCCTGCGAATAAACTTACAAATTACAACTTTTTTTTCCTGTGGCACAGAACATAAACATTTTATGAAAGCTATAACAAACGCGTTTATGTGATAGGTACTATGAGTTATGACTATTAAGGCATCCATACTAATATTATAAATGTGAAAGTGCGTTTGTTTCTCAGCCCTTCAATATCAAGCCAATCCGTCAGCTGCTTCGACGTGAAAGAAGGACAAACAAACAAATAGTAGACAAACAAATCTATACACATACTTTCATATTTAAAATATTAGTATGGATGAATATCGATTCACAACAAGCGGTAACTATTAAATGAGTCATATAGTAAGGAGGGAGGGAGGGAGAAGTTTTACTATAATTGTTATTAAATAGTGCAATATATACGTGGTCACGTTCTATAAGCTAAGTTTCGAGCCATTTAAAACAAAAAGTGTGTAGTAAGTAGGTAAACAACGTTCAGAATTGGGTAATTAAACTTTTACGGTTTCCTTAGTATTGATTATTTTGAAGACGTCAGAACGTAAATTAATATAAGCTGTTATAAAAATTACTTCTAGTAGCTAATTCTCAAAATGCCAAAGAGATCTTGAAACCATTCTAAGGAATTGCTGACTCAATATCATGTGCCTGCCAACAAACTACTATAACGTTTTGAATAAGGAATTTTAAGCATCAATAGTTTCAAACACATAATGTATCTCTCAGTATAAATTCATGCCAGTAAAAAAAAAGAAGTAAATATAATAATTTCCTAAACTCTACATACATTGTTTTTATGTTAATATACCTATTACATATAAAAAAATTAATAAAGCATGTATATCACTACTAGAATATTTTCCTGTGATATATGCGACATTAAATTGTGGCATATGATGTACAAACATCTAGTACAAACTACAAAGTTTCACGTGTTATTTATTCATATTTTATTAACACATCTGTTCATAACTTACTTATATCATGTGACTAACTTTTAATGCCGCTTATTTTTGTAATATATCTTTGATTTTTTTTTCAGTACATATTTGAATGTTCCAGCTTATAATTTTTGGTTTTGTTATCCGTGTCAGTGTCACTAGGCATGAACGTACTCGTATTTATTTTGAGGTTAACTTAACTATATCTCTTAAGTCTTGATAAAGGCAAGGCCCGAACCAAAACATGTCTTGTTTAATCTAGTTTTACTAAATTTTATTTATTGCATGTACCTACATTTTTTTTATATTCTTAATACCGCCGCGAGCACCTTTACATACACACATATATACATGTGCTAATTTTAATGTACAAGGTCAGCGGTCACTTGTGTTAACCTTTAGATACAAATTTATTTTTACGGAACCTTTTAAAAGATTTCAATATTTCTCAAACTTACTGCTAAATTATGTATAAGTAAATATATTTCTTGAAGATATTTCGCCGTTGTTTTTCTTTAATTATTATTATAAATTATAATCAAACTGAACTCATTAATTGATGGAAAGTGAGAAAAAAGAAGTTAAATAAAAATTTACTATTCATTCCACCATTTACTATCCACCTGAAATAAATTTAATTTGCGTGAGCGCTAAGTTCTTTTAATTATGTGATGATTAAATTGCATTATCAGACTTTACAATTACTTATAAACATAATTTAGAAAGAGTTTTAGCTTGAAATGCATTCATTAAGAATATGGAAATTACACACAACAAGAAGTAATAGTCTCATCGGAAGTACTGCTATTTTACTGTAATCAACCACTTAGTTCTTACACTTATTTACGAATGCTGCTATTTTGCAGCGAGACAACTACCTACATACACTGATATCAATAACCTAGTCATTTACTTGCCATTTGCCAACTTTATATTTTAATGAACTATTGAATATTAGTAAATACGAGTATTTCTTATATTAATATTTCTAACTAAAGAAGAGAAGAAAATATTATATTACAAAAATCTATAAATACTCAAAATTATAAACTTTGTCAGTTTGTATGTGTAAAATTTGGGGCAAAGGATTTCCGTACAACTGATCCAAATAAGAAAGTTCTTTCACCAAAATAATGTTATATTATGCTTAAATAATATATACATATAATATAAATTTTCAATAAGAAATACGGTCACGATCTCAGTCAAGTTCATAATGAGTAAAACCCAAAAGGTTTCTATAATAATAATTAGCTCTTTTTATTACTTGCTTCGATAAAATATTTATATAAATACTGCACACTGTCTAATTGAGAGTGTATAACGGGCTGTTAGCTATTCTTAGATGTTACAAAATGAGCATTGGGCAGTTGGAGGACTACTGCAGGGATTACATAATTTAAATTTTCTTTCTTTACAACATATTGTTATATAAAGCTTTTAAAGTTATAAGTTAAAAAAGCTTCATCACTTCGTGCATTTACCTACGTGTATTTTTCTTGTAGCATACACGAAGAAGAATTGATTGATATTATATATCAATAAAATTTTAATT